TTATATATGCATACATTTGGGCAGCAACCTTTTTATTTCGAACATCTTTCATTAAATACGGCAGACAAAGATTTAATTATTTTCAAAAGTTTTTCCAGCATCCTTACGGTTTTCTGTCTGGTAGGAGTAAAGTACAAAAATCTTTAATAATTTTTATTGTCTCGAGCGCTTTCGGCGACTTCTATATACATTTTCAAGGGTGTTTTGCCTCTGGTGTTATTTTTCCATGTCTCCAGTGGCGAGTCTACGGGGGGCAGAAGGGGGCTAATGTCTCCCTAATTTTGGCTGGCCCCCTCGGTTGCACCCTCTTTCTAAGTTTTGTAGAGGAAAAAAAATCAGAGCAGACAAATCACACTGTTCTGCTAGTACTGATGTTAGTATTAACCCTTTGATTTTGTTTTGAAGTTAACCCCTCTCTTGTGGCCCAACAGCTTGAGAGTGGAAAAGAGGACAAGAATAGATTAGAACTCCACTACTATAAATGAAAAGCTATTCCGTTTAATTTAGTGAAGTAACATACTTACACTAAAACTCATTCCTAAGTTGTGTATACGATAGTGGTGTAGTATGAAAATAAAGACACTGCTTGAATTTGACCCCCCCCCATTAGTCCGCAGGAAAATCTCGGCCCACAAGTGCCCCCCTCCAACTTTCAGAGTTCCAGTATTGCCACTGACTGTTACGTTGTAATTCATTTTTGTGTTTTGAAAAGGAGCGTTCATTTCAAGTCATCACGTGTTGTCCGCGGCTCGAATTCACGTGAGAACCTATTTTTTTTTTTTTTTAAAAAACAAAAAAATTCACACACACATATCATATCATATATATATATATATATATATATATAAAAAATTTATTTTTAATACTTTAAGTTAAATTTAATTTAAAGTTTGGTTTTTAGTTCCGAAACACGGTAATTTCTGTGTAGCGATAATTAATATTTTTAAATATTATAATACTATGCTCTCCTGTGTATCGAGCACTGGTTTTAAAATAAATGCGAAAGAACTGTGGATTATAAATTTGACTTCTTCTTTATTTTGAGATGTATAACGCATTACAAAGTGTCAAATTTTTTTGATTGTATTTTCAAACAAGATTGTATTTTTGTTCAAGTAATTTCTCCAATTATGAAGTGTCATGTGATGTCAGTGTGGTCGGCAAGATTTCTTTGACTACATCCTGGTATTCAATAGTGCTGAAAGTATTTATATACACTCTGTCCCTGATTTAATCTATAAATATAGCATAACCTTAAAACTTATTATTTTATAAAATATATGAAAATAAGAAATTCCAAAAATTTTTATCATTGAAAAACCCAGACGACACGCGAAAAACATGTCATTGTTTGTGAGCAGGCATCCCTACCCCACCATAATCTGATTTTGAAAGTAACTTATATTTGATACATAAATTGTCTAGGAAAATTAAGACCCAGCCAGCCCTTATCAAAATGAATGAACTTTCGTAACCTTAACAATTTAAAATATTAAGATTGACTGTGCTTATAAATTAAGTAAATTTCTTGCAAAAATCGCTTGAGAATGGAATGAAGCTATGGAGTTTAAATTTAATTTTATAATTAAATTTAAGATTTTAGGTTTTGAAACATGGTAATTCCTATGTAGCGATGGAACCATATTTTTTAAATAGAAAATTATTATATATATATATATATATATATAACACGTTCGATGATGACAGCTCTTTCAAATTGTAGAATTAGAACAATCTTTCTGATATCTGACATAGATGTGAGTGACAAAACACTGGAAACAACATGAGACGGAGTTGGGAGATGAAATTCGTAATAATGTCATGTAAACCGGATTAAGGTGTATTAATCAAATAAGTTAATCCGATTTCCTTTGCTTTAATTAGCCAGAAGCATGTTTTAGTCCGATAAATACTCGCATTGAAATAAGGTCAAACTGATTTTGTTATTGTATGCAATGTTTGGATAGAATTAATGTTCTTAATGGTTTACTGATAAAGCGTAAAGAAAAATGTCCATAAGTATTGTCTATTTGGAGATGTGATATATAAACATCACGACGTGGTGTAATGGTTAGTAAGCTTGTCTCGCAAGCACAATTACGACTAAGTAGTGAGTTCGATCCTCACTGGGTGCCCCCATACTTTCGGCCTTGTGCCACATCTAAGCATCGCTTAGAAAAAAAGACACCTCGAGGTGGTGTAATGGTTAGCAAGCTTGTCTCGCTAGAATAATTACGACCGTGTAGTGACTTCGATTCTCATTGATTGCTCCCTACTTTCGGCTTTGTGCCACATCTAAGCTATGTAAAATCATTTGGCCACCTCGGCGTCGTGTAATGGTTAGCAAGCTTGTCTCGTTAAAACAGTTACGATTGAATAGTGAGTGCCCCCTATTTTCGGCTTTGTGCCACGTCTAAGCTATGTAAAATCATTTGGGCACCTCGGCGTCGTGTAATGGTTAGCAAGCTTGTCTCGTTAAAACAGTTACGATTGAATAGTGAGTGCCCCCTATTTTCGGCTTTGTGCCACGTCTAAGCTATGTAAAATCATTTGGGCACCTCGGCGTCGTGTAATGGTTAGCAAGCTTGTCTCGTTAAAACAGTTACGATTGAATAGTGAGTGCCCCCTATTTTCGGCCTTGTGCCACATCTAAGCTATGCTTGGAAAATCGCTATATAAACATAACTTCTAATGTAGGCGAACAGTACTTTATTTTCCAAATTTAATTAAATATTACTACAATAAAGGAGCTATTTTTACGTTCCTCATACATGAGTTTTAATAATCGTCGGGTGTTCTTTTTTAGTAAAACAAAACAAAAACAGAAGCCTTAATAAATTTAAATAATTTAGATGATCAAAAAGTGCAAATTTAAACGGCATGGTCTTAATGAGCACAAGGTATCTTAAATTTTCACTAAAAAATTTTCCCCCACAATGCCTACAAGACACTTTAGAAAACTTAGTATATTCCTTCACACAGGTGTTCTTACTCTGAGTACAGGGTTTCTCACAACTTTTGAAACAAAATGATTGGGCACATCACGGACCACAAATTATAGAGTAATGTACCTACCCTGTAACGGCATTCACCCGAGGTGGGTTGAGCCGGCTCTAATATTGGAGTTTCATGGGAATTTGGAATTCACAAGCGGTCCCCAACCCGCATGTATAGCACATATTTGATTATAGTGGTGAAGGTTTCGTGCAGGACCATCCACACTTTTTGAAGGGCCGAATACAGAGACCTGGTGCACTACGTGCCACAAGGTCCCTAAACGACCCTCTGGAGGTTTTGAATTCAGAGTTGTCCTTCTTCTAGACCAGTTGCCATCCAAGGCTATAGAACCCAGTTTGTCCTGCTATTTTACCCATAGCTGGAGGGAGAAGAGGATTCACACCTTTCCCAAGCGGCCGTTGATTTGTTCCTGTATATGTTTGGTTTTGGTTTATTTAGTTTACGGCGTATGGGTTATTTAATGTAGTCTTTAGCACGTAAGTGAATGTAATGGTTTCGACTGGAATTCGAACTCGGCTCTCCGATTCCTCAATCTAAGCTGCTATCCATTACTCCACCGTGCCTCCTACATTTATTGAAAGGTAAAAGGACAACATTTTAGGATCTGTAAATTTTAGTCTCAAGCATGAACCAAAAATGCCAAGAAGAGCCTTAGAGTACATGCTCCAGATGTCTGCCATTCAACTGAAGGCACTGTTGAATGCAAAGTTGATAACACGGGCACATTCCTCCTGGGTGATCGCTTGAATCTTATCGGTGATAGCTGCCTTCACTGCAACAATAGAGCGAGAGTTGCCCTGGTAGATGTCCCCGAGGAACTCTCAGAGGAAGAAATCTAGGGGGTTTAGGTCAGGCGAGTGAAGTGCCCATTCCACTTCAGCTTTGCGGCTGATGTGACTTTCCCAACACTTTCACGGAGCCATGCCATGGTAACATTAGCAGTGTGAGGAGGAGCACCATCCTGATGGAACCACAGTTCCTCCTCATCAAAGTCCTCACGCTTCTCGAGTTCTCCACATCTGAGAGGCCGTTGATTTGTTCCTGTACATGTTTGGTTTTGGTTTATTTGGTTTACGGCGTATGGGTTATTTAATGTAGTCTTTATAAGAAATCTGTTTGTAGATCAGTGTTCATTGACATAATTTTGTGAAGAGGGTTTTTGTAGAATGTCAAATGTAACTTTTTTTAAGATATATTGCTGGTATGTGTTGCTATAAAAATCTATTTTTATACTTTCATAGTATTTTGACCACAGTTTGGGGGTTAACTATTTGCCGATAGCTGGGACCCTAACAGGTACTACCGCCCCGGGTCCTGGTGGTCCTAGGAACAACAGCAAGTAAGAGATGGTTGCACGCTCCTCAAAACCTCGTGATCAGAGGCCTTGCTGCCGTATATATAGTTTATCGTCATACCCAGGACGAAGAACAATTTTATCCAGTCCGACTTTTTGCATTCTTTGAGAATATATTGCAAAGTGTATATATATATATATATATATATTATCATAGAATAGATAAAAGTCCTAACCGTTCATTTTATCGTTAGATGAACGAGCCTGATTCTTTTTAACAATTCAGTTATTTCTGGGAACTACTTCAGTCCACATATATAATTTTGACTTGAGTCTTGGACAGAATTTGATTTTGATCAATCACATTGCTGGAAGACGGACCTTGTTCACAACGGTAAATGTCTGGGAACACCAAAAGACTTTCCATTCTATTAGATACATAGATGGGTACCATTTCGACATGAAATGCCAAAACTTTGGCAGGGAAGAGATTTCAAAAAGATTTTTGGCCAGTGAGTCATTGAAAAATTCTACAAATTGTCTGAAAGAGATCCGGGATTAATTTCCGAGGAATTCCGAATGACTGGGTAAACAAAGTAATTTATATCGGAAAACAATCCTGACGCCGCAGCCGAAGAAAATACTTCCGAGCTGTCTTCGTGCCTATATTCTTTTCGTTTCTCCGGTAATGCTGTCGCTCTCTTGGGCGCCTTCCACCAGGGCTGTCGCTCTCTTGGGCACCTTCCACCAGGGCTGTCGCTCTCTTGGGCGCATTCCACCAGGGCTGTCGCTCTCTTGGGCGCATTCCACCAGGGCTGTCGCTCTCTTGGGCGCCTTCCACCAGGGCTGTCGCTCTTTCAGTCCCTCCACTATGTATATCCTCTCAGTATATGTTCTAGGTCTGGAAGCAACCCCCGCCTTTCATACGGGCATAAAATTAATTCAATAATTAGAAAGGTGGTGTAAGACAGGGATGCATCTTCTCTCCGGACTTGCTCAACCTTTGAAGCAATTAGAAGTCCTAACATGATTTATTATTGGCGGCAAAAATCTTAACAGCACCCGATATGCAGATAATACAGTTTTGATAGCAGACACAGAAAGTAAACTACATGATATCCCTCCATAAGTTAGTATAGAAAAGCGAGAAGAAAATACTAAACCTAAATAGTAAGAATAGAGAATGTATAGTTGTTAGCAAAAAGGACAACCCAAAATGTGTACTGCAAAGTGGAGTCACTAAAATCAAGCAAGTATAAAAATTTAAAGAACTGCTGTTTTAACAGAGGACGGAAAATGCGACACTGAAATCCAAAAGCGCATTGGGACGGCGAAAGATGAAAACAAAAAGGACACGTAATTATAATCAAAGTGACAATTGAAGTTTTTAGAACACCTAATGAGGAAGGAAGGCTTAGAAAATTTGACATCCATAGGACATAATGAATGCAAGAAGGCCCGAAGAAAGGAACGATTAGCATATCTAAGTTTTTATAAATGATTGGCAGAACATGGATTAGAAGAGATAGCAGCAAAAAAAAAACAAAAAAAAAAAAACAAACAAGTTCTGAAGGGGCACAGTAATTTGAAGAATTAACATGTTGTATCCAGTTTTTAATTAGATTATAATCTTTTACTCTTATTAATCCGTCTTATCCACTTAATTCTGCAGTCATGAATTTACTTTATTCCCGGCTTTTTTTTTTTTTGCTTTTTAGCCCAACATTGTTAATGTTAATTTATTTTCTTTTTATTTATTGTCTACATACATTAATTGTTACCTATCTCTATAAACAAATAAAAAGATTACTTAGCAAGATAACTACCAATAAAAACACTTGACATATTCGTCATGTAAAGCGAAGTTGCCATCTTCCAAGTTTCTGAAATGTTTAATGGAAAGCTGCGGCTGTCCCGGCTACCGGTCCGGTGCCCGAAGCGGGCGGCTGTCCCGGCTACCGGTCCGGTGCCCGAAGCGGGCGGGAAGTTTCTAATTTAATGTTTTCCATTTAAAATACTGCCTTACGGCCATATCGGTTTGAAACGCCGGTTATCGTCCGATCACTTAAGCAACGTCGAACCTGGTCAGTGTGTAAATGGGTGACCACTTCCGAATACCAGATGCAAGCTGGGATGTACGGATGGTTTAACTGATAACGGCTCTGAATACGAACTCGGAGAGTTGAGTTCGAATTCCAGTCGGGTTCTTTACGTTCACTTACACATAAAAATACCCTTGGGAAAAGTATGTAGCTATCTCTTCTTCCCGCCAAACTTTCATTTTTATCGCTCATCCCAAGGTAGATTGTTCTGATTGAGTAAAAGTGGAAAGTAGTCTGCCAATAACTTTTTTCAAAATATTATTTATTTAATTTACACACAAACTGCGTATGTGTTTAAATTAAATGACTTATGGACATGTAAGTAACACGCGCACATCGTAGTTAATATAAAAGTAAATAAGAAAAAAATCAAGCTTTATAATTATTTACTGGGTATCAGTTGAGACCCCATTGGGAGTAGAACTTATATCTGAATATCATTATCTTTCAAAATAATGTTAATAAAATATACAAATAAAAAAAATTATTCATTCAGTCCATAAATGTTTTGTCCTTAAGTAACTTACAAAAGTTTAAGCTCTAAAATAACAGCAAAAACAAAACGAGTCTTTTTTTTTTAAAGAAAAAAAAAACTTAAAATACTATATTTTAGAAAATCTATTAACTTTAAATACAGGAGTCATATAAAGGACTTAAAAACGGGCACATTTCGGCTAATACTCTCTTGTTATCTAAGAGTTGTTGACAAATTGATCTTAGTCCTCGCGACACAGATGCTTTTTCCAGTTCCATTCAAATTGTTTGTGAGTGTGGGTATGTATTCTTGCAGGTGCATCTGTATAATTGAATCCAATTGCAAGCCTAAAAACTTTTCTATAATGTAAAAAATTAAAAAATTCTATGAAAAAAAATTAACGAATTTCCGGAAAGTTCTATAAAATCCTATAATTATCTGATTTTTAGGGTTTAAAACTTTTTTTTTCTCCAACTTTGGTTTTATCGCTGATTCCAGGACAGGGATCGTTCCGACTGAGTAGAAAGTGTGTGTGTGTGTGTGTGTGTACATTAAATGACACATGCACGTGTAACTCACGCGCAACACAGAAATACGCGTATGCGTAGGTCATACGTACGCGGTGTGTAATGAACGGACATTCCTTATTTTTTTTCTTTTCTTTAGAGATTTACTAAAGGGTTTTGTCTGGTACATCGTCAACTTTGTGGGACTATGTGAATTAAATTCACTACACGAGCTCTTTATATATATATATATATATATTAACAAGTCTGTTAAATGTATTGGCTAGTCATTACCCCACGGGTAGGTAAACGAGGTGTGATCACGATAGACATTTATTTAGTTTAGTCTAACACGCAGTTACGAGTGTTGAAAATCCACTGGGGATCGAACTCGCTGTAGATTTAATGATCTGGAACACTACCGTACTAACTCAAAAGAAGCCCAGATGTTGTAAATGAAAACCAATTCTTCTTTCTGTCTTTTAATTTATATATTTATATATATATATATATATATATATATATATATTTTTTTTTTTTTTTTTTTTTTTTTTTTTTTTTTGACTTTCTGGTGGGTATGGTCTGTGTTTTTACGGATATTTCATTGTAGAGAGCGTGGAAATAGAGATACGCAGTCCGCGTATTTACACAGACCTTAATTTCATTTTTGTTGAAAGGTCGAATCTTGACAGTATATAAAAGGTCGTTCATACACTATTTGGATGAAGCTGAATGAATGGGGAATACGGCAGAATGGGAAAGAAATGCTTGTGGACACTGAGATCAACACCGAGTGGACGCAATTTTCGTGCCATGTTGCGACTCGGTGTCCACTTTCACATTTACACACACTCTATCCCTGATATTGAGCACTTTTGTCCATAAAGATACCTTTAAAACTACATTTATGTACACTTTTACGGAGTTCTATAACTTTTGGAACAAAATCATCAGGAATTTGAAGTAGCTGAATTCTGCGTTGATTCGATCGTTCAGCCTGGGGCCAACCAAATAGGTGACGTATCGATAACGCCGGCGTTCTTTTTCTTGAGCAGCGTGAAACAAATTAGGCAGACCCCACACATTATATAGCTACTGATCAGAAACACCGATTCATGTATAATGATTTTTACATGCATTATGAACATTTATATACAAAGTTGTATTAAAAACTTAACGATCGTAAGAAGCTAACAAAATGTCTTCGTTTGGCAGCATGGGTAAACTTGTGCCTAAGTATTTATTTATAAAGTATAGAGAAGAGTGAGGGATATTTATCTTTCAGTGAGAACGAGAAAAGAAAAAAAAACTTGAAGTATCAACTCATGAACTTGTAACACTTAATTTATTTCCAGGTGTTTTTCTTTTTAATTATTTAACCCCAAGCAAAGCAATAAAGTTACCAAGACGTAATTTATTACTGAACAAGAAATAATATAAAAGAAACATTAAGGAGACGGAAAATCCCAACTGAGATTTCATTTAAATTTTTGAAGGTTAGTTAACTAGAAAGTAAGATGTCGAAATACATTTCCGCAACCGTAAAACTAATAGACCTACTTGCCAATCTAATACTGCACTTAAATTCTTGAAATCAAACTACCCATGAGGAAAACTCATCAGAACAATTACCATGAAAATATTTATAGAATGGACAGGAAGGAAGCTACGCTAAAGCGGTGAGAAAGTGACTGAAGCCGAGATGCCAGGTTAGGACCCATAGCATTACACATTCTTCACTGGATTTTATCAAGAATCTCTAAATGCATAGCCGAAGCATTAGACCAGATGCGACAGCAATATTCAATGCATGCATGAATAGTAGATTTATGAATGTGTAAGATAGACTCTAAGCAAGAAAAAATGTTTAGCACGATATATATATATATATATATATATATATGGCATATATATATATGGATGATGTGTGCGTGTGTGTAACGAATGCACGGCCTCAATTTTCGACGGATTTGCACCAAAATTTACATGCACATACTCCAAGTTAGCGGGAAGGCCAAGACCAACTTTGCATTTCCCAACTCCCATTGATAGTGAAAATAATCGATTTTTTTCATGCTTCTAGGGCAGTTTTCATGTACTTTGCGGCCATTTTCTACTGACCAGAGTGAGAGCCAACAGCTGACTGACACGAATGTTAACTTAGCATGCAAAAAAAAAAAATCGATAGCTGCATTCGTCACAAGTGGGAAAAATTTAAATCTGCATGGCACTTTACTCCAATTGGCTCATTCGCTTGCTTAAACTCAACGTTGATTCTGTTTCCGCAGAACTCGGTTGGGTGTGAAAAAGTATTTAACATTCTTTTTTTTTTTTTATTCGGTTTTTCCAGTTACGAGTCCTTTTTTAAAGCTGATCGTTTTGTGTTCATTTTGTTTAGTTCTTTTTTTCGTAACAAATTTAATGTTTAGTATAGAGCTTGGAAAAAATTCGCAGTGTGAGATATGCAAGAAGTAAAGCATGTAGCAACATCAGCACGGCAAAGGGCACTCCTTTAAAGGCAAGGAAGGGCAAAAATATTTTAAGTCAAGTGATCGCGATTACTGTATGAGTCGTACGATTTTTGAATCAAGCACGGGCAACTCCGGGCTATGCTGCTAGTCATATATAAATTATAACCGATGCTCGCGTTTATATCTCCCCCCTCTTGCACATATATAATTCTATCAATAAAAGATTACTTTAGTCCAGAAGTGACCAAACCACAGCTCGCGAAACACTTGTGACTCGTGGAAATATATTGGCTGAGATTCTTTTGTCATTACAGTTAATATAAAAAGATGCGTTAGAACGTTCAC